CAGAACCTGACGATTTGCCGGCATTGGAATCTAATACTCACAAAGTAACACCTGACATTGATGTGCTTACAATGGGAGCTACCGAAGACAAAACTAAGCTGGAAGTTGAGGAAGTAGATTTCTTTTCTTTGCAAGAGGAAAATCCAAACAAACAGTCACACCATCAGACGAGTGAAGATTCCGAGGAACTAGAGGAATTTTTATCTCTGACGAATGTACAAAACGAATGTACGTGTGAAACAGAACCGCGAGTGGATGGAATCCCTTTAAGTGAAGCCACAAAAGAGGATAATCTTATTGTTTCCAGTGAGACGGGCGGAGCGAACGCTTTGGAAATCCCAGAGCTTCCGCCAGTTACGGGAGCAGATAGTCTCTACAAGTATGGGGAGAGGGATGACCTAATTGGTTGTGAGCCAGACAGACACGGGAAGGATGCGGAAGCTCAGTCCGAGGTCAGTTGTGACGGAACACCAGATAGTTGCGGTGCCGGTGAGTTAGCCCTGGAATGTCAGAACCAGACTGACATTCCCAACGTCTCGCTTGTAGGTCATGAACATGTAAAATCTCGGCTTGTCGAGGGATTAAGCTCATCTATTACTTCTGGTGAATTTGATACCCATGACAAGGTAGTTTTTCATGAACAAGCACAGGAACAGACAGAGTGTCTTCCCTTCCCCTCCGAAGGAAAAGAAAAGAAAGCATTTTTTTGTGATTATAGCAATCAGACCACACAGCATGTACAAGAAGGTAATGTGAAGAATTCAATACTTGAGAATGATTCTGATGACCAGTGTATGGTAACAGCGAAGGATGAAAATGAGCCTGCAGACTATGACAGAGAGAGCACTTTGTCGGAAATTTCATCTACCATTTTTGAAAGTGTACGAGAGTCACATCCCGTTCTTGACCCAATAGTGATAGAGAAACTTAATTTAGTTGAAGGAACATCACTCGCACAGTCTACTGACCATCCTAAAGAGGACAGTGAGCACTTAAAGCTCAGTAATTCTCCTATTCCAAGTGCACGAAGTACAGTGCAGGATATTATAACTGCTGATAAACAAACCCTAAACATTAATGCTCACAGTGATGATGGCTGTAATGTAATTTCTGATGACGTTTATGATAAGGAAGATAAAGACAAAAATATAGATCCCGGTTGCCAGGAAAAGAGGGATGATGGTACACAGGAGGAACAGATTGATAATGATTCACAGTGTGTAATCGAGGAGTCGAAAAATGATGATAATGACCATTCAACATCATCAAATCGAACTAGCGTTGTACTTGATGAATTTCAGCAAATGCTGGAAAAGGAAGGTTCAGAGTGTTCATCGTTTGCCGATTTATCTGCAGAGGAAGAAGTAGGAGATTCAGGTTTCAGTCCTTCAGCTTTTGAGCAAGACCAATTCACTGGAACAGGAATTTCAAACACCGTACAAAAGCAAGGTGAAGAGGAGTCTATCAGTTCACAATCTCACCGTAGTTTTCTAGAAGAAATCCATGGATTTAGGACATATTCCAGGGATTCTGAAAGCTCAAATGATGAAAGACCTCCAAAGGCTGATGCACGTTTTGAAGGAAGCAAAGTGAAAGTCGACAGTCAGCCAACAACTGAACTTGTCACTTTGAGAAAACAGTTCTGGGATTCTGTTGCAGCAGGTGGCACCGGGCATGTGGACTCGAAAGTTTCATCAAGCTCTGACTCGACTGATATTGTAAGTCAAGCAGATGACGTTTCTAAGTGTGAAACAATTACTGGAGAGCAAGAGGAAGAGATCACAAGAGGACCCACACCTGAAGCAGATGACGTGTTTCAGGATGCTGTTGATGAGACACCAGTGGGGTTAGTCGGGCGACTGAAGGCTGTTTGGAGTAGCTTTTTCATGGGTGATAAGCAAGCGTTGACCACAGAGGATAATAAAGAAATGGGTCTCGATGATGAACGTCTACGTGATGTCGCAGACGGTGAGAGTTTGACTGATGATCAAAAAGAAATGTGGGAGAACCTTAGAAAGTCTCCAAACTGTGATCGTGAGAATGTATTAAAGAGTAAAGTGAGGACACAAAAGAGAGAGGAATCAGTGGAAAGAGACGATATTTGTGATGAAAACAGGAAGTTGTTGGAACATGACAATAAAGATATTGCAATACATGAACGACCGTTATTAGAGGAGAATAGAAAAGAGGAGGACTCTGAATCTGATGAATGGAAAATATTGACAGAAATAAGAAACAGAGAAGAAAAGGCACAAACGTCACCTGCAACTCATGAACAAATTCTAATAAATGTTTCAACGACAGATACAACGCCTTTTGATGAAACTGCTGATAAATTAATGCAGTTGTCAAGTGAATCTTCCAGTGACACTGAAGAAGAACTACCCACTGGCGATGCGTTTATGCCACGGAAAAGTATGAGAAAGATCAAGCGGGGCACAGTACAAATGGGAAAACAAATATGGGAAATGAAATATACAAACCCAGAGCCTGCAGGGGACACCACAAAGAATGTAGAGCCTGAGAATTCTATGCTAAACACTCCTGAGTCTCTCGAGAGGGAGAGTTCTGAAAAATATGCATACAGGACACCAAGTCTTCGGAAAATAGAAAGAGGAATTGTGAAAACAAGGAAAGATCAGTGGGAAGGAAAGTTAGTGGAGCTTGATGAGGACAATCTCGAAACTAATGAGGAGCAGGACTTCGAAGATACTGAAGAAAATGCTTTGATGCACAATGATGACATCAGATTTCCTGAAGAATCCCCCAAACTTCATCAAAGGGGATCCAAAACTAAACAGCCAAAGGGCTACAAGCTAAGTGTGAAAATTCGAGAAAGGACTGTGGTAGATGCTAAGCATATGTGGGAAGAAAAAGAGGCACGAATGAAGAAGGAAGCCGAGGCTACTAGAGCTCATCTATATGATCTTGAAAATGATAGGAATATAGTTGGTGATGAGTTACTTCCTTCAGGACTTCCTGACGAAGGTGCAAAAACTGAAGGAAATGATGATGAAAGAAATGAGTTTGAAAATACTAATACTGCTTGCTGTCAGGAACCAATCGAAGAACTCGGCATTGAGGAGGGTCTTGTGCACAATAAGAAACAAGTCTGGCAGAATCTGTGTGAATCAGAAAAGAAAATTGAGACGAAGGCACTGACTGTCAAATTAAAGAGTCAGAAAGGAGAATGGCAATTCAATGAAAAAGAAGACGCCAAAGGAGCACAAAGTGGAAATATTCCAAAGCCAAATCAAGCTACCAATGTAGAGGTAGCAAAGAGTAAGAGCAGCATGGAATTGCGTACACAAGCAGCTACAGATGTAAAAGCTGAAGGTGATAAGGATGACATGATTGATCGACAGCCTAACTATGGGGAAACTGAGGAGAGGTCGGTAGTATCTGGAAAGGACTTTTGGGAAGGAATGAGACCTGAACAAAGACAAAGTCAAAATCTTGCCGACAGCAAAGCTTCAGAAACGTCACCTACTGACAAAATTAATCAGGCTGTCACTGCAACAACAGAAACAGTTAATAAGGAAACCAACAATGATGACACTTCCGAAATTAAAGCCAAAGGACATGTTAAAGCCAAGACGGAAATGTGGGATGTAAAATGGAAAGAACTAGAAGAGAAACGGAGAAATGAAGCTATTGGACAAAGAGAGGAATCAAGAAGAACAGAGAATAAATTACCAACAAAGGCAGCAGCACCTCTAGAAACTGTGAAGGGGGAAGTGACATGCGAGGTAAATGCCGCGAATATGGAAGATACATCCTCTCAAAAGCCGGTCACTGGCTACCAGCTCAGCTTCAGGCTCAAGGAAGGAAGTGTTGCAAAGGCCAAACTCATGTGGGAAGAGCAAGAAACAAAAAATAAATTGGAAGCAGAAACATTTATACAAATGAAGAGCTCTCAGGAAAAATCTAGATTTCAGAATGAACAAACAAGAACAGATTATGAGACTACTGACAGCACAATCAAACTAGAGGCAAATGATCTTAAGTTAGAGAAAGAAAATGAATTTATCGCGGATGATCAGCAAGAAGCTCCTCTGCAGGATAATATAGACATTAATGAAGCTTCCGAGAGTCAGTTAGTGCCCGTAAGTGAATCAAGAAAATTGTGGGAAGAACGAATATCCAAGAACGAATCGTCTCAAAAACCTGAACCTGTAATTAGTGAAGCAAAACCCTTAAACAAGGTAGCACAAGTTTTAAAATCACTGAATAACTCTACGGTAGAAAGTGTAAATGAATATCCACACTTTAGAAATTATCAGTTCTCCTCAGTGGATGTTGAAGTTGGCAGCGAGACACAGAGCACGGGAGACATATATTCTGAGATGGATCAGAATGACTCAGATGAATCGCCTGAAGAATCTAGCATCACAGCTTGTACAGGTACTGTCGCGGCTGGCAAGAAAGTATGGGAAGATAGAGTAACGGAAGTATGTGATACTGTCCAAATGAACCCTGATTTTAAAGTTGATTATCAGAATGCAGAAGTTGAGCATCTTGCAAGAACTTTTGGGAAAATAGAAAACGAGCCTACAGCATGCAGTGAAACCCATGGAAGTAATAAAGTTACTAGAACTCTAAGTGTTGAGGTCGATGATGGTAGTGTTAGTAGAGCTCGAGACTTCTGGGAGCAATCTAATAGCCAAAGCTCCACTGCTGATAAACTTCATTCTACTGAAAACGTCCATCAAATACAAGAATCTGAAGTGCCGATAGGTGAGATGGACAGGGACCAGAAAACTCGAGATTCAGAACAGAAATCTGAGGAAATGGCACAAGCCCCATCAATTCTAAAGGAATCATATATAGGAGCTAGTAAAAGAGCATTCTGTGACACCATGCTGTTAAATTTTATACCTTCTGATACTGGTGATTCTTACAGCACGAAGAATACTTCAGAGCAAATGAACAGAACGTCTTCTTTAGTTCAAGATGAAGCACTGAATTCATTACTGAGTGTTGCACACTGAAGAATGCTGCCTGCAGTCCTGAGGCTAACATACCTAAGGAAGAAGCACCATCCTATCCAGATACTAATAAAATTGTGCTAAAAAACCAAGATCAAACTGTGATTTCACTAAGACTGCCAGAAGTGAGTAAAGAGGAGGAAGAGATTAGTAAAGAGGAGGAAGAGATTAGTAAAATAATTGGGGAATCATCTGGCAATATAGTAAAGCAGAAGAAAGATTACTGGGATAATATGATGACAAAGAATCTAGAACCAAAATCTTGCAAAATAGTTGCGAAAGGAAAAATTATAAGTGAGCATTTTCTCTGTGAAGATATAAGTCCATTAGATGACATTAGTGTATCAACCAACTCGGGCAGTCCTCCTCCTCTACCTGTAACACGACCACCAATATACGCTGACGCAAACAAGGAACCGAAGTCAACTTTACACGATTCTCAAAAAGCAAAAGAAATATCAGAAAAGAGAAAGTATTGGGATAATTTATTTGCCAAAAGGAAAGAAAGTGAAAGAAAATCGGCAGCTCAGAAAGATAATGATCTTTCAGTTATAAACCAAAGGGAAAATGATATAGGAATAAACACAAGTACAGGTGATGATACCACAAAGTCTATTAATGTTACTGCGAATGTTCAATTGCCTGAGCATGTTGAAGAACCTGAGAAAGATACAGAAGAGTCTGACAGCAAATCAGTCCATCCTGCGCCTGGAAAGACATTCGTCGCACAAAAGAAAGGTTTCTGGGATGACCTGATCGCCAAGAAGACACGTGAGCCAGGAGTCAACACGACTTTCATTGTACAGAGGCCTCTAGTATCCACGCACGGCCGTCAAAATCGTAGTTGTCCCGTTGAGATAGTAACAGACGAAGTAACTGGAGGAGATGAAGAGATGTGCACTGAGATCAAAGAGACCAAGACAGTGCTTGGTCGGAAACTGAGTATCAAAATTAAAAGTGGGATCGTACGAGCCAATCAGCGTTTATATGAGTCAGAACGTGAAGATGAGTTTACAATATGGAAAAAATCTAAGGAATTTAAGAGACGAGGGAAGCATAATTTATCATCGCCTAGAAAAAGTCCCCAGAAGCTCTCTAGAGAAAATCGTGGCCCAGAATCAGTAAGAGATCAGCCAAGAGTTGCTGCATCACCAGTTCCAAGGCACAGGAAGCTAAAGAAGGGGCGTCCGACATCCCCCAGACCTCAAGACGACCAGTCTTCGTCCGGTGAAGACGAACAAAGCGTTCCAAGAGTGCGAAGGAAAACGAGTGTGAAAATACAAAAAGGGTTAGTGAAAGAGTGCAAATCCCAATGGGAATCTAAATGTTCAAAATCTGGGTTTTGGACTTGGAAAAGGCACCGGTTACAGTACTCGCCGTCAAAACCGAAATCATCTCCGGTGAAAAGACAAACCAAGAGACACTCATCTCCTCGTAAATCTCCGACACCAAAGGCAAGCCCAGTAATTTCATATACAGCAAGGTACCTGGACACACCCAAGTCGCCAACACAGACAAGGAAAGAACGAGACGATGAGAGGTCACCACCTCCAAGTCCTCCAGTAGATCGACCTCTGACGCCAGAGGAAACCGAGGAGTTCCTCCAGGACATCAGGGGAAGGGTGGCCAGCCAAAGGAAGAGGTTTGATAGTCTTGGCAGCGTCATTAGCGAGAGCAGTGGGAATAGCCTTGACGCCGTGGATGACCACACCAATCATACGGCTAAAAGTCCCCTTGATCTGGATGAAGACTACATCAGCTGTATTGTCGGGAAGGTAAGCAAACATAAGAAACTGTGGGAGACGAAAGCAGAGGAAAAGAGCCAAAGAAACAAGGACAGCAAGGTAACCACCAAGGCGCAAGCATCAAGAAATCAAGGACGTGGAAAGCCTCAGAGTCCAATACCCACAAGTAAGAAGGGAAGGGGACGCGTGACTTACATCATCCACAGCACAATCGAAGGCGACGTCGTCCTTGAAACAGTCGACGGGACCTATTCATCTCACCAAGAATCATGGGATATCCAGACCAGGAAGCAACAACAATCGCAACGTCTGCAAGCACCTGGGGAGAGCATGAAGGTTGAGAGGAAGGGAGCAGATATCTCTGGTAAGTCATGTAGAGGAGCTATGTTACTCATAGGAGGTTTATTATTGTTGCAGTGAGGAATTTAGAGCATGTAGTTTCGGCGTTAGTGTTATGATGCTCTCAGCGTGTATCTTTTCTTTGATGTTTTGAAATTACTGTTATTAGAGTGGTTATCATAGTAGCTTTCCTGTTACTTTAGACATTCTTTGCCCCACAAGCGTTGGTTACCAAAATTACACACATTGATGGTGGCTCTGACCACTCCTACGAAGCTGCTGAATATGATAAAAGTAATGATAATACCAGTGATAACAATTTTGATAATAACTGTGATAGCATTAATGATAATGATGTCGATTTTTATGATAATAATAATAATAGTAACTATGATAATAGAGTAATACTAACAATGATTATAAAAATTGTCAATGATAATAATTATAATAATTATGATAATCATAAAAAATAACAACAATAGTAATAATGATAACAGCAACAGTAAAAGTAACAACAACAACAATGATGATAAGAATAATGATGATGATAACATTAATGATAAAAATAATAGTAATGATAACACTAATTAGGATAACAATGATAATGAAAATAATAATAATAACAATAATAATAATAATAATAATAATAAACTGATGATAATAATGGTGATAGTAGCAAAAATAACAATTATTATAAAAATTATGATACTAATAATAATAATAATAATAATAAATAATATAATAATAATAATAATAATAATAATAATAATAATGATGATGATGATAATGACAATAATAGTAGTAATAGTAGTAATGATGACGATGATAATGACAATAATAATAATAATAATAATAATAATAATAATAATAATAATAATAATAATAAAAAAAATAATAATAGTAATAACAACAGCAACAACAACAATAATAATAATACATATCAAGCAACAACAAAAACAACAATAAGGATAATAATATTAATAATAATTATTATAATACCTACGACACACCCGCGACTCAACATCAGGAGTTCACTTCCTTATAAAAAACAGCAATCATTTCTTACCCAATTATAATGCACTATTCCATGAAGACATAATATGGCTTCTCAAAATTAACACTAACGCACTCCTACCAATCTGCCCCACACTATTTTACCTTAAGGCTTCGCGACATAACACAGCACCTCTGGCGATGGCGATCCTCTGGCTGAGGACGACAGGCAGATGTCTTCTCTTATATCTGGATTTGTTAATACAGCTATGAACAGCTGACTGATAATCATACAATGATGATAAAAAATATAATTATTATCATTTTACTATAATAATATAATAATAATAATAATAATAATAATAAATAATAATAATAATAATAATAATAATAATAATAATAATAATAATAATAGCAATATCAATAATAACGATAATGATGATAATAACAAAGATAATAATAAAGGTGATGATATTTATAATGATGGTGATGATAATGGTGGTAATAATGATAGTAATAATAATAATAATAATGATAATAATAATAATAATAATAATAATAATAATAATAATAGTAATAATAACTGATATTAACAAAAATAATGAAATGATAATGATAATAACAATAATCACCGACTAATTGCTTTTATTTTATTTTTCTATGTATGATTATGTATCTAGCATTAACAGCTTATTATTCATGATGGCTGAAATTTGTATAATGTTTAGGTAGTATCAATAGCTATACAATCTTACTGTCACGAGTTTTTTGAAGTATCATTTAAAGTAGTATATATTGATTTTGGCCTTTTTGGGAATGAAGTACTGATTAACAATTGGTTATAATAAATTGGAAATATGATGCTAAACAAGCATGATATAAAACTATATAAATACTGGTGACTTTAGGCCACGAAATGTATCAGACAGAAAAAAAATCTCCCATCCTTTCCACTTTGCAGAGATCAGCCGCGCTCATCCCCGGGGAGATGTGGATGAGCTGGTCGCCGCTGCTTCCATCCCACACACGACCAGTGATGCTGGGGATGTCATACTGCCGGATGAGGAAACCCGAGGTCATTCTCCAGTTATTATGAACCCCAGCCCACACTCCAGTTCTTGGCCAAGCCCACAGTCTTGCTCTCCGACTCAAAGCGCCGGAGAACAACCCATCGAAGCATCTGGAGCCTCGGAGGACCCTGTGGCATCCGAGACTGCCCAGTACTACCAGTCATACAAGCACACCTTTGCATCTGCTCGTAGCTTCTTTGAGAGTGCAACAACTGACCAAGATGGAGTCGAGCTTAACAACTACACAAAATACGAGGATAGACACAAAAGTCTTGCCGACTTTGTGGTTACTGAACAAGTAAATGTATCCTGTAACGACAGCGAAACTTGGAATTATTCCTCACAAGGCCTGAACTCCCCCAGCAATCCCATTGAAAATGCAGCGACAGACACTGACCTAGAAGTTGATGCTGATAATATGAAATCTGTTTATAGTTCCCAAGACATGAATTATACTAGGCATTCAAGGAAAGAAACACAAGAATGCGAGACTCGCCTGGTGGACAGCGGTTGCCAAACCGACGATGAATTCGAAGACACTCCTCGAAGTCGAATATATCGTGTGAGTCGGGCTTGCCAGAGTGATGCTGAAAGTGACAACGAAACGTTGAAAGTGAGAGATCACAGTCCATCGCAAGATCGAGAAATACAAGTTTCTGAAGACGACCTTACTAATCCTCTAAAGCGTCGTTTACCACATGACTATCGCCAATACGATTTGCTAGAAAATCCCAAATCAAAGCGTCGGATATACCAAAGGCGAAACAAATCGCAAACATTGACTAGAAGTAAATCCCTGCCAGGAATTGAATTCGCAACCATCCCAGATCCAAAGCATAATAGGACTACAATAAATCCACTAAGCAATTTCTGGCCAAGTGAGCCCGAAGCCGACAGACCCAGATCTTACAAGTTCGGAATATCAGATTCATCTTCTCTTGTAGCGTCTCTCATGGACCTAACAAGGGATTTACCTACAGCTTATCCTGACTCACATAACCAGGACGACTTAGAAGATCTCGATCATGATGTCTTCCAGCACTTCCCCCAGGGAGAGGTCCGTCTACATAGACCCTGCGGTCCCTGTTCCCTATCACGACCATTAACCTTGATCCTTGTACATTAGTTTTTATCTATTTAAGTTGGTAGGTAGATGTAGATGACAATGAGTAGAAGTATTATATGAATGCATGTCAAGTTTTATCTCTACTTTATTATCAAATATTCTCACCATGGATATATCATTGTAAATTTCTGTAATGCACTCACACTACTGTATCTATTATCCACAGGTGATACAGACGCTGAGCGGATGCTACAGGGGAGAATTTCCCCATATTCCAGTGAATGGGCGAACACGGCATCATGGCAGAGTTCCCAGAGCTGGCCAAAGAGACCTGATTTCTCTCCGGGAACTTCGCCGTCGCGCCAGTTTACCCGAGTGTTTGGCTCTCCTACCGATCTCTGAGGCTCCCAGTCCCGAGGCAGGATCTCCGGTGGAAGTGATACGCAATCCCTTCCATCCCATGGACCAAATTACTGCCCAACTAATGAAGGAGTCAAGCGTAGATAATTGTGAAAATGGTACTCCTTGTATGTACAATAGTAGTGAAAGTATCAATTTATCTGTAAACAGTGATGAGAGTGAGAAACATAAACCAGTATGTGATGGCGTAAGCGAAAATGAGCAAATTGCTGATTCCGGTAAGGAAGAATGGGATACTTACGGTGAGACCACAACAGATTCCAATTGTGATGTCGAATATGGAATTAATGAAAGTAGAAACTGCGTCGAAGCAACACCTAATCTTACGTGCAGTGCGTATGGCGATGGTCTAGAGCGAGGGAAGTTAGGAGAAGTTTTAACTTTCATCGTCGACACTGCCGGCGCACAGCAAGGCGAGGTATGTGACGTTTCTTTTATATTCTGATCATAGTATCGTTATTACAACACGTATCACAAGCTCTTTGTATTATGGTCATGCTTTTCATTGAGTCCCAGAAATAAGTAATCGAAGTCGTTTTGTAGATGTCCTTCCCAAAATATATCGTTATTCCAGGCAGTGGCTATCGGCC